TTTCCTTTCCTTTCCTTTCCTTTCCTTTCCTTTCCTTTCCTTTCCTTGAAATAAGAAATGACTTCTTCTTTCCTTTCTGGGGACAGAAGGCAGATTTTCAACTGGTTACATTGGAGTGCTGGCACAACTGCTAGAATATTAGCCGGTGAGTTTCCTATTTTAACTCTTCCGTGTACAGCTGCATGTCACATAAGAGGAAAAAGCCACTTTTCTGCTCTCTGCTGACTGCTTGAAATTCCTCTAATGCAGTCTGTTGCTTTCCAGATGTGTTGGACCACTCTCTGACTATTCTCCATTCAGCATAATCTCAGAATTCAGGGAGTTGCATTTAACATATCTAGTAGGCACCGGTTTGCAAAATGCTACTGTGGCATGTGGGATTTCGCTCTTCTGGTTATAATCCAACTACATCTATAAAAGTTCCGTCTAGTACAGTAGTGCATTTAGATTATTTAAAGAATGGGAAGCTAGCAGCCTGCAGAATAAAGCTGCCTGGTATAATCTTTATTTACTGCAGTGATTCTGGGCCTCACATATACTTTAAAGATATTCTCAGAAAATAAAAACAGCAGAGGACTGGAACTCAGTGTCTGAGCAGAAATTAGGGTTCAGCTCACAGAAATAAATCTGCCCAAATGCTTCAAACAAAGAGAGAAGCCAAAGAAGCCGAGTCATCCTGGTAAATGGGATGGTGGGAGCCAGTTTTGTGAGAATGCCCACAAACGCTCCCGAGATTTTATGTGGAGTAGATGGTAAAAAAAATGTTGGGATTCTCTGATTTAAAGGCTCTGCAGCACTCGCCTATTGAAGTGGAGAGGATGTAAAGTTCCCCCAGCTATTAACAGTGGCTAGGATTGTATTTGATAAAAACTGGAAAAATGAGAAAACACCATCACAGGAGGAAATCATTAAGAAAATATTGGAATGTGCTGAAATGAGATTGACATTTGAAATTAGAGAACAAGACGATAAACAATTTTATAAAATTTGGGATCTATTCTATCAATGGTTAGACAATAAAATACAGTAATGAAATATGTAGACTCTTAGAAAATAATAAATATACAAAGATGTACTTCTTATTATATCTACAAAATGATTTTAGGATAGATTTGGGATGATAATATGAACTGTTATAAAACAAACTAAGTAAATTATGATTATCTTGTAAAACATGAATGATTAAAAGTATAGTCAAATGATTGATTAATGATACTAAGGTATTTAATTTTTGATTGAAAATACAAGATTATATGCAATGTAATTGTAACTGAAGACTAAGAAATGGAAGCACAACACAATTTGTAAACCAACCGGCACACTGTATGTACACATATGGAAGATGGCTTGATGTTTTTATGTTTTGTTTATGTTTGTTTTTAAAAACCAATAAAATTTATTAAAAAAACCAATAAAAAATAGAAAAAAAATAAAGAAAAAAAATAAAGTTCCCCCAGGGAAACAAGCATGCCCCAATGCTCCCTAATTCCATCTCTACAAAAGATTTGAATGAATGTTTTGGTGCACAGTACTTTTTGAATGCCTCAGAAAGGAATCTAAATTTGGTCTTGTTCTTAACTAGTGGTAACAATATTCCTGGGAATGGACTTGCCAGCTCTCGACCTTCCTCCATGGGATACTTACGTAATGATTGGATTTGTAGCTTGGCATGTTGGGATTGATGTGCTTCTGGAGTTACACGGCTACTGCCTCATCCGCAAAGGTTTGCATGGAGAATAATCAAATTACAAAAGAACAATTTTTCTGGGTTTTTTTTGTTTTTTGTTTTGGCAGGGCAGGGGTGGCTTTCTGGAAGATCTTGGCTTTTGCTATTTGTGATTACTTCGTACACTTTTTCCTGTGACACATTCCTATACAAGTCACAGAAACAATAGGCAGCTCAATATTTTAATCATTGAGTTTGGTTGCCTTGTTACACAAAGATTTATATTTACTGTTTCTTAAAGTACTGAATTGTTAATTTTAGCGAGGTGAGGTTTTGCTGTGCAAAACTGCATATGAACAAAAATCTGTTCTTAGATTAGAAACCTGCGATGCCACAAAACATAATAATCATGATGTAAAACTTCAGGGAGGGAATTCCACCATTTTGTCTTGTTGCTGTTCAGATAGACCAAGAGAATTTCATTGTTTGGCTTCTGTTAACAGAGAAAAATAGCATTTTGGAATCCAAATAGTATTTTCAGGTGAGGAGGTGAAAGAGAAATCCCAATTCACCTCTCCTGCTAGAAAACTATAATGCTGTGTCATTTGGACAGCTAGTTACTGTACAGAAAATAGCACTGTGCTGAGAATGCCAATAAAAATGCCTTTCACTGACTTGCTGTGAAAGGGCAGGTTTTAAGTAGCATTTAAGTGGACGAGTATTCTTTCTCCTCTAGCCACACTTAATAATATCTCTGTGTGTATACGTGTACATATAGAGACTTATACATGAGACACTGTGCCATTTTTCAGATGAAGCCATCCACAGCCATTATGGCCAGTATTTTATTTTTGTAATGCAACAAATGGCAGGAAGGATTCCCCCCCCCCCCCCAGATGCCTTTGAGGGGGGCAGTTATTGCAAATTGGAACAAAGAGCTATATAGAAAAAAAGGCAGAATTGTAATTATATTTGTCTCTAAAGGCCTATGTTTGACCTCCTGGGGGCCATCCAATGTGAAACTTAAAAGGCAACACATTTTAAGGGGAAAAAAAACAAACATAATGAATTTCAAACATATCCTATTAAATAGATCTTTATTGTACTGTGAATGGATGAGTGGTCGTATTACAGTGAACCTAGTATGTTGTATGGTTTGTATGTACAATATTATCTTTTTGGATAAAGTATTTCTTTTATTTTGTCTGGGGAATTCCGAGAATTGAACTCCATACATCTTAAAGTTGCCATGGTTGAGAAACACTGATTTAAGGTGATAGTATGTATGTGAGTGAACGGAAGAAAGCTTTCCTGCAGAATAGCTTTAATTATACTTCTCTTTTACAGTTGAGGTGTTGGAGGATGACAGGGTACAAATATTGCAATCCATATCTTCTGCAGAAGCCCAGGTAAGCGTAGCGCTTTGTCAGATGGTGAAGAGAATGGAAAGACAAACTTACTTGGTTTTAACATGAAACACCTTCTAAGATCTATATTATTTTATGACAATAGGGTTAGAGCATATGAATACTTCTTTTTCTCCTTAGGAAAGAGAAGCCTCTCTGGGGGTCATGTCTCGGCTAGTATTTTTCATTTTCAGATAATTTTTCATTAACAGATGATCCTGTTAATTTTATCATCCTTGAAATGCTAGTATTGTTTTTCACAGATTAACTTTCTAATACTCTCTCTTTCATTTCTACCACTACCATCAAGAATAATTATAGACATGCCTTTTTCTGATGTGGTTTAATCATTTCATAAATGAGTAAACAAATTTTCTTTTCCCCCTTTTCTTCCCCCAGGGCCATACATTTAAAAAAGCAATGCTGTTCATCTACATTTGTGGCAACATAGCATTTCTTGTCACCTTCATAACAGCAGTTGTGCAAGTATGATTCCTCAAAAAGCCGTGACTAAAGACTTTGTCATTACAGTTCAAAATAACTTCTTACTAGATTTCATATCTGTCAACGAGACTTATCTCCAAGATGTGAGAACAACTCTTCACCACACAGCCATTGAAGAGCAAACTTTCTTGGTCTTGATAAGAATCTGCCCCAAAGATGCTGCTGCATGTGTCTCGTGTTTCCTACATTTTGTCTTCCCTCCCACACACAAATAATCACTATTTCAGTATTATGAAGCCCATCTCCAAGTACAGACATTTTTAGAAGAAGCTCCTTTACCTGGAATTTTTTTGAATTCAAGATATTTGTATGAGGAGAACACTCTTTGGAAGTATTTATTACTGATTTTTAGATTGATTGAGATGTGCAATAACACATATTATTCCAAGAGTGATGACAATTGTTTGAACATTGTTGTTTCTTGACACTTCTAAACACTTGAATATGTTTGTAGACTACCTCTTTCTCTTGAAAATAACTAGGTACTATACAGATTGTCCTCTTTAGCATGTATTTAATGAATAATGCCTAACATATTGTTTCTAAAGTTAGGATGATCTCTAATTGTATTCATCCATTGGTGACCCTTCTGTTACAGACCTGTGTATGTGTTCTACAGGGTTAGAAGAACCTCTAGAGAAGAAGTTGAATGTATGTATGTTGAATGTATGACCCTGATCCTAAAGAGGCTCCAGGAAAATCTTTCAGCTCAGTCTCCTTGGTGTTAGACTGTTTCCATTAATATGCTCCATAAAAATGATGTCCGTGACCAGCAACATTGTAGTTTTGTAGATGTATATTGCACACCAAAGATTTAATATTTTTAATTTTATGAAATTCTTGTCCCAGTTTTTGAAGGGAATTTCTTTATAACTTCTAAGCAATGTTGAACGAAATATATAGCTGCTAGTCATATTACTACCGTATTCGCTGCAAATATATTTGCCATTAGAGAGTTTGTTCACCTATTATGTTAAGTAGAGTGTCATATCTTCTTAAATTTCTATGACGTAGTATTTATGTAATGTAATTTTGCTAGATATTTTTCTCTAGGCAGCAACTGTACCCATCACCTATGAATCAGTGTCTGAAAACTTAATAAAGATAACATTAAAATAATAAATCTGTGAGAATTGTGATGTCAAGAAATGAGAAGAAAAACTTGCTAGTTCTTTTAAGACACAAAATTCCGTCTAATACCCTTGTAGTTATTTTAAAATACTGCTGGTTCCAATCTTGCTTTTAGATCGGAAATTATTAGTAAGGTGATAACAGCTTCCATTAGAAAATTATAAGCAGTCTTGTGAATGATTTGCAATATACTCCTGTGTACACAACTAGAAGTCAGAATAGGTAGATTATGGAAAAAGAAAATTATTTTCATCCTCATATTTTTCATCACAAATATATAAGCAACATAGAAAATATCATCTGTAGCAGTGTATTTTAAATAGGCTTTGACCAAGTTTTCTTTTGGGGAAGAAGATAGCTTCGTAGTCTCGTGTATAATGTATTGTTCATATATTTCCCACAGGATAAGTGCATTTTAATTCCATTTTGGCCTTTTCACTGGCCTCTTTCATTCCTAGGAAACATGCATAGTGCCTTCTGAAGTATTTTTAGATTGGACTCTTAAATACACCAAAATAACATTTCCACAATTGAGACACTGTGTGGTGCTATTGATCAGGTTTATAGCCATAGCTTGTCATGTTGAAGTTGTCCACAGTAGTCTAAACTTTCCAAGAGAAATACATTTGGAAAATGCATAATATTAACAAAACATCTGAATTACACTGAATATTTTTCAGAACACAAATATGAAATACTGTATCCAAACATACAGACTCAACCAAACAAGAAAGCCTTGCATATATCATAATAGAACATTTTGATTTCTGGGCCAAGCTGCATTCAGAAGCAGATACCGATGGCCAGTGTGATTTTTATAACCCAGTTTCTGAGTAATGGCAAGTGTCTAAGTATTGAGATACTTTGATGATAAATGCAAGATTTGGTAACTAAACTGGGAGAGAGGTATGTACATTCCAGCTCAAAAGCAAACTTTTTATCAGAGGGCTAGAGGAAATGAACTATTGGACAAGGATGCCTTACTGGCTAAATTCCAAAGATGAGCAATAAACACAGATAGGAATATAGCAAGCAAATGACATGGGTAGAGTGGCCCACATTTCCCAAACAATGGGGCATTTTCCAATGTTCAAAGGAAAATGAGATGGCTGCCTCTCCAGGATACATTACTATTGATAATATTAGGGGTACTTTAATGGCTTTATCCACCAGCCATAATAAAGCTCTTATTCTTTACAAGTGAACTGTTGGTAAATGACATAGCTTCTGCTGGCTATGCTGGAGATCATCAGCTTCCAATATCAAACACACATGGAGAATGCTTGTGTCAAGTTTGAAAACCACTGCTGAAATGGAATAGAGTTTAGTAATTGGAAAGTCAGCATGTATCCTATATTCATGTTTAGGTGTAGTCAGAGAAGAAGATTGAGAAGACTCCTTCAACAAAACGAGATGCATTTGTATTCATGACAATGACCCTTCAGCTCTTATAAAATACAACAAGGCTGACAAATTCCTAACAAATGCCACTAATAATTCCTTGAGGAACATACTGTTTTAACAATATTCATTTATGGATCAGAGTATCCATATATCAGGACTGGAAAACATTCATTTTCCTGTAAAGTGCCATTATTCTTATGGATGTATAGTTGAGTAAGTAAAAGCTACCCAGGTCCAAAACATAGAAAATTATTCTTTTGCTTTTGTTAAACTGCCAGACTTTTAGCATTATATCACTGCAGCTGTTTAAATCACCTTTTTCCCCAGTTTTGCCATTCTCATTCTCAGAGCTGTAAAAAAAAAAAAAAAGTAAAATATTATATATTGATATGATATTGTAAAATTATAGTATTAATTAGTCAGAGAGTGTATACTTACCTCACAAGATTAGTCCCAGAAAGTACTGTTAAGTTAGTATAAAAGAAGACCAGAAATTAATAAATGTACTGTCAAGTTACAGCATAGCCACATGAGAAATAAAGAATGGATGATTTTCAAACTTATAGTGACAGCTGAATCTGCATTCCATATTTACCTAAATAATTTGGCTTTTCATTACAAGTCTAGACTTCTGTCCGTAATGAATATAATACCAATGTAAGGGTTAGTTTGTTCACTTGCACTAATCTAAAATAGAATCAAGTTTTCCTATGGTATTTACCTTTCTAAAACATCTGTCCACTTTTGCAGGCTTACAAGTCACTGTAAGTTTAGAAATACAGGTAGTCCTCAACTTATAACTACAACCGAGCCCCAAATTTCCATTCCTAAGCAAGATAGTTAAGTGAATGTTGCTCCATTTCTTGCCACAGTTGTTAAGTGAAATTTTGCAGTTGTTAAGTTAGTAACACAGATGTTAAGTGCATCTGGTTTCCCCATTGACTTTGCTTGTTAGAAGATTGCAAAAGATGATCACATGACCCTGGGACACTGCAAATAAGCCAATTGCCAAGCATCTTAATTTTGATCATGTGACTGTGGGGAATGCTGCAATGGTCTAAAGCTGAAACATAATCGTAAGTCAACTTTTTTTTCAGTGCCATTGTAACTTTACTAAATGAACTGTTGTAAATTGAGGACTACCAGTATGTTGGCTAACGAATTCTGGGAGTTAAAGTTCACACATTTTAAAGTTGCCAAGTTTGAAAAATACTGCCATGAATCATTTAGTGATTCACATTTCATCTAGACGCCTGGCTGGTCTGAAATCTGTATTATATTTTTAAAGACAACTTTGTTAATATGAATGTTGAGGCCCATCATTTCTACCTCATCAAGATGTGAAACAATTATAAAGTGAAGAGGCTTTCTTCCAGTCTACAGTTGCTTACACCAAAAATATAAGTCCTTTCTTATACATTGGGTTTTAGTGCGCCCTATATTTTATTTTATTCTTTAGTGCCTTTTAGGCTTTGGTTTTCTACAAAGAAAACTATTTTATCTTTTCCATTAAAAAGACTGCCATTGATTTCAGTGGTTTTAGACAAAGGAATTTTGCTGAAAATATTCCAAGAAAAGAACGTTACTCACTTCACAAACAACCCTTTGTACGTTGCTACCTTATTCTTCCTGGCTTTGTTTTCCTTTTAGAACAAGCAGTATAATTATGAGATTGTTTTGGAAAATTACTCATTTCCCTGCGTTCTCTGATTATTCAGTAAGTGTTATGGCAGAGGGACAATGTGTGGGAAAACTATGGAGGAGGGGACCAAGTCAAGGGCAATCGAATTGCTTCAATAGTAGATAGCAAATATTATGTGGGTCTGTCTACAGCTGATGTGCTTATTTCAGTTCCATACTGAGAATGACGGGTAGGGCAATGCCTCTGTAACATTAAAGAAATTGTGGATAAAGAGAAAGCACTGACTAAGTTCATTAGCAAAGCATGCACAATATATTCCTTATGGACAAAATTGGGCTACTCATTATATGTTGGGTTGTTTTAACAGCATTAAAACAGCATTCCATATGTTAAGGAGGAAAAACAAAAAGCTAGCAATTGCAACTTAGAAATGTTTTATAGACTCTACCCTTCAATACTTGGGAGGTCCATAACCATGGATTCAAAGAAATACATCAAGTTCTTATCATCATCATCAGTTGTCATCAGTTCTTATACCATTCCTCACAGACTTAAGTCCTAGACCTGTGATGGCTAACCTATGGCCCTGTGTGTTAAAGGGGACACACAACACAACATTTTGGGTGACATGCCAGCATTCAACACTTGACAACTATTCTTGAAAGCATGCCTATTTATCACTTGATTTTCAAAGCCTACGGAGCTGAATGAGAATTGGCTGTGTTCTCATATGGCCTCTGAAAATGGATGGCAATTCAGTTGCAGTTAAATTTTTACACTGTATGAAGAGGTATTTCCTTTTTTTATCTCTTGAATCTCTCAGCAATCACCAAAACTGCTGCTAGATTGCCCTGCAGGGCAATTCCAAGAATACTCAGGATAATCATGCAATAAAGTATCTTCTTCAATGATTTTGAGGGGGATAAATCTGCTTTCCCTTCGGCTCCATCATCAAGATGGTTTAATCCAGTACCCACCTATTTAAAGCAGCCAAGTCAAGTTTTACTTATGAAAACCCTGTTGAAGCTCTAACCCCTTTTAGCTTTAATTTCTGAACTCTTTTTTTTTTTTACTTTTAATTTGTAAATCTTAGCTTCATTTTTAATTTCATTCTTAACTATGCGTTATTAGTTTACAATGTTCTTTGTAAACCACCCAGAATCACTTAGATGAAGTGGGTGGTGTATAAATTTGATTAATAAATATCACGCAGGACATTGTCTCCTTGTAGATATGTCCCTTTGGGCTTCACTATATTCATCTCAAACATTTAGATCTCCAATATTTTTTTCCCCCACCCAAAGGAAACCAAACTTGGACAGCCAATTAACTTTGCACTCTCTCATCACTCAAGAATGTGAGGCGTGTATAAGAATATACCAACTGTTCTTTTAATAAGTGGGCATTGCTCTCTCTCCTATACCGTATCAGTCTGCTACTATTGAACTGGCATTTTAACATGTGTTATCAAGCTATAAATTGCAGGCTACTGTCAAGCTCTGTGAGTCAAACTGAGAAGGAATGCCACATTGGACCAATGTTTTGGGAACTCTGCTGGTCTGCCTGCCGTGAATAACTCTGAGATAATGAGAGTTAGGAATTGGTCCTAGAATGTCCACTTCCAAACTTCTCTGACAGCTTCCAGGTAAAAAGAATTATAATCAACAATGCAGCACCTTCAGGGACAGTCCAAGTTGAGGTATACCCTGGCCCAAATGGTATGCTAACTGGATTATACTACAGTATTGTGAAAGCTTATGATCTACTTGCTGCCTATGTTGCAACAACACTTCCACTGTTTGTTCTGCAGGAAACAGAGTGCCTTTCTATAGCCATTGGTCTAAGTCAGGAGTGTCAAACTCGAGGCCCGGGGGCCAGATGTATGGGGTGCTTAGATCTGGCCTGTGGGGCCACTCGGGAAACAGTGAAGGACCGGCCCGTGGTGCCCCTGCCAGAGAAAACGGAGCTTGCAAGGGCTACGGGAGGCCCTCACGAGTTCTGTTTTCACTGGCAGAGGGTTGCAGGAGGCTGTTGGAGCTCAAAATGGACCTTGGGAGCCCATTTTCACTGGTAGAACACTCGGGCCACCACAGGAGCCCAACACAAGTGGCGTTGAGCTGGCCATGCCCTCTCCCAAGGTCAAACACAACCCTGATGCGGCCCTGAATGAAATAAAGTTTGATACTCCTGGTCTAAGTCCACAAGGCAGGATTCAGTGCTTCTACTGAGAGAGAGTAAAGAGGCTTTAAATATTAATATCATCTTTTGAGAGATTTGCAAACTAGAAACAAGAATCAGTTGGACTTCTGGAAAGCTTTCTAGTCTTCATATCTATTCTAAACTCCAAGGCACATTAATTGGGATATGATTGTTATAAAACAGGAAAGATTTGGCCTTCATTTCTCAAAATATATTTTTCTAAAGCGTGTGTGTGTGTGTGTGTTTGTGTATGAATCTTGTCTGCAAAGAGATGGCTGCAATCTCCAAGCACTGAATGAGGCAAGAACTTGTACTATTTTATCAACGTAACTTTTTCTTCCATAAAATTCTTCTTGAAAGTGCAAGAATTATATAGAGCATATGTGGTTTATTGCTACCAAATGTACTTTTTTTTGCTGACCAATGAAAGAAACTTCAGCTATTGCTTTCCCTTGCACTTCTCTTTCTATTCCCACCATGTCATAAGCCTGAGATCTGTATCAGCAGTTGGGATCGCTAGACATTTGCCAAAGAAGACATTCTAGCTATGCTTTTATTTCTCAACATCACTTCCTGTTCAGTACTTAAGCAATAATGAACGAAGGGAAGATAGGGCATCCTTTCTTTGCTTTGTCCACTAAATAGGATTAAAATACCAATTTAGAGCGTCTTAGATGAAAAGCAAACATTTTATCTTAGACCAAATATAGGCTTGCATGAACAAAAGGCTTGATTGTATGTAGATTGTGCTATCTGTTTTGTGCTTGTCGAAGAAAGCTACTATTAGTTGTGTTTGCATGGACGCAAAATAAAAATATGAACTCTGACACCACTTGATTTTAAGGCTATTATGATCTGAAAAACATTTCGAATGCAAAAGATTAATAGTGAGAAGATTTCATGCAAAAGATTAGAAAATGTAACAGTTTTTATTAAAGGTAGATATACAGTCTGAGATTAATAAAAGAAATGGATTTCTGTTATTTTTAGCTATTAAAATAGGCATTCTCTGTTAAAACAGGATAAAATTATATATTAAAAGTTGCATTATGTCCTATCAAATGAAACAGGCACTATCGAATAATGATTAAGGCAAGACATATGAGTAAATTCCAAAAATGGAAAGAAAGGTTATTATTTAATCACCAAACTGCAATTTGATTTGATTTGCCACATATTGCATAGGTGCAGTGAGAATTCTTAATACTATTTTCAAAACATGCTTAAATTAGAAAGTAAAATATCTGATTTGCATTATTATTCTGATCTGATTTTAGTAATATTAAACAAACTTTCTGTTCTGATCACTTAGATCCTTCAAAGTGCTATGACTGCACGTTATTAAAAATTAAATAAAGCCCTCAAACAAGTCGCCTCAATCTGCAGCCCTCCGGATGCATTGGACTTCATTTTCTATGATGTATAATCAATCTAGTATGTTCAACTCAACTCAACCACTGAAAATGTCAGCAAGGGACTATGGAAACTGGGAATTCAATACATGAGGAAGGGTGGATTAGAATTTAGAAGAGCAGGAAGAAATTGGTTAGAGGTTGCAGATGAATCAAAATTAAAATGAAAAACAAGAAGGGGAAGAGAGTGATGTGAGTAATGAATCTGTTACACAAGAGTACAGCAATGCTTTGACTTGCCCATTTTTTTACCTGTTAAGGAAGGTTCTTCTGTTCCATCACTTGCTACATGGCCATCAAGTTGACCATTAAAGGTAGAACAGCTCAAACTTTCTTCTTGTTCTTTCAGTGACATGGAATTTCTGTAAAGTGGCTTGTTTATGTTGTCTCCAGAAGTTTTAGTCTGTGAGCCTGCACATGTCTGATTGGATGGCTGAAAGACCTGGCTATAAGGACCCACTGGATGATAAAGAGGTGTCTCGATTTTTTTCCCTTCATCTTCACTGTCATCGCTGATGACAACAAGTTCCGCATGGATAATCCCATCATACCCACAGATTTTTTTATTCAGTTCTTCATCATCCACATGCTGGTATCCCATGAAAATCATTGTAACCGGTTCTTCTGTATCATCCACATAACATGGCATAGCTTGGACCACGCTATAATTATCCTCACTCTCTAGTGTTACCGGAGAAGAGTTTTTGATCTTTTGATCTTGGTACTCCTTCATCTTTTGATATGACTGAGCAGTTTCTTGTATAGCTTCTCTTTGGGCAGAAGATACTAGCTTATTTTGAGGACTAACCTGTAAGGGCCTTCCTAATGGTTGACTAACTGGACAGTGAGAATTCTGCTGGCAGCTCTTTGAAGTATCTAGACCATCTTTTTTAACATCATGCCATTTATCCTTATCAACAAGTTCACTAGAAAAATTGTCAAGGTGGCTGATCTTATTCTGGTTTTTATCTTTTCCATCATTTGCTTCTTGGATGAATTTATCCTTTTGAGGCGTTCTGGGTCTGCAAAACTGGTTGGCATATACCGGCTCATGATATTCAGTGGGAGACTTGGATTGTTTCTCAGTGGCTTGTCTTAAGATATCCTCCACTTCAACTGGAGCAAGATCATCCACGTCATCATTCTTTACGCTCCCATTGGCGCACACCGCATAGACCGACTTTCTGCCATCGTCATACACTTTGACTCCTGCTCCTTTAAATTCTTCTGAAGGAAGGGGGATTGTTGACAAAACTGTACTCTCCCCAGTCTTCGTGTCTTTTTTTACTTTAATTTCCATAGCAAACAAAGCTGTGGGGAAGAAGCAAGCAACCTTTTAAAAGGTAATTATTAGCTAATGATATTGTCAGGTCCAAGCCCAGAGAACACACAGAGAAATCCAATCCACTTTAATTCTTGATTTGCTTACACCTAATGGACAGAATGTTGCCAGACTAAAGCTATAACTTTCTAACCAAAAAGTATAAACACATTCTGAGAGACTCTATGGCTACTCTGAATTTCTTCTCCATTCCCTATCCAGCTCAGGATTGCACAGTGTCTTAATCATGGCCTCTCTCTGAGAAAGCTCTGTGTTGCCAACAGTGTCCCCCACGGCTCCTTTTTTTTTAGCATTACAAATTTTCATTACAAATAAACAACTTAAAAATCTATAAGAAAAATCTATAATACATAGCAGTAGATCTGTGTGCCAGCAAGGAGGCTGAATAATTTCAAGTCTTGTGCATGGGGAATTTCCCCTACCCCAGTTAGCTTTTCACTTACAATTCTTTTTCTCCATATAGGAAGCAGGAAGTAAATTGCAGTATATTGGGACAAAAACTGCTAGGAAGTGGAGAGGCATCAACACTAGAGAAAGATTGAACACTTCCATCCAATCTACCTGCTTCTTCCAGTTGATGTCACCCAACTCCTTTTTATTTAAGTCCAATTTAGCTCTAATTCAAAAATTGATTTCAGCTAAGAGGGCAGTGAGGAAGTAAACATAATTTCCTCCTCATTTTCAAAGTATCTTTTCTACAATTGCTCTGCTGTTCTTACCTGGCCACTATCCAGTAAAGATTAGAATAAGGTGCAAATGGCTTTGGCTGTACTGCAGAAATCTCCGTATAAATACAATATGACTTTTTATAGGCTCAATTTTATTGTAATAAAACTGAGCCTATACATACAGGCATCTGGTAGAAGCCATGATGACATCATGTATATTATGATATAAACATGTCAATAACTGAACAAGGAGAGATTTAACCTGGAATTTCACAAATGACCAATCTCATATCATGTTGTCAATGATGACATGACACATATGACTTATTTGCTTTTGTCAAACTCCTTCCCCTGAGGAGTTGCAGTTCTTGCCTCCCCATTGTAGTTCTGTGTTATTGATGATCACATTTTAAATGATGGAGGTAGGGTGAATTTGGAAGCAATTTCAATGAGAATGTCAGCTTTGCAAAGAAATCTATGCAAGTTAACACCCCAAAAATTTACCAGTAAATTTGTTTATCCACAATACTATAAATCATTTGTGATCCATCAATTGTCAGGAAATAGAAAGCTTTTCCTTTTTTTTTTTTTTTGCAAGACCCAATAATTTGGTGGCCCATCTCCAGCTAAAGCTTGGATTCACACTGAAGCTTCTGCAACTATCACTAGCTGGTATATTCCTGATTTTCTCAAATGAATGTCTTCTAGATGTGCTGGATTACAACTCTCAGAATTTTAATTCATGCTGGTTGGTCTTCTAGAAGTTATACTCCAACATATGAGGTCCCAGGTTGTTGGGACAATATGATGACTCTGTAAACTGTAAATCACTGTGAAGCGGTATATAAGACTAAGTGCTATTGCTAAGTGCTATATCTGGAAGATACCAGGCTGGGCAAAATCAAATGCGGATAATAGAGGACTAGACAGTCATATTCAGATATCAACACCCAGAAGTGGCTGGAAAACAGCCTGACATTGTTTTAACTTCTTCCAGTGTGAAAGCTAAAAAGCAAGAAGAGAAAAATCTGCCTTGGCCTGATTTGCTGCCATTCCTACAGCAACAAAAAATCCCCTTCCCCACTTCACTCACAAAAAAAAAAAACCCAAAGAGAATTTCGTAGCCTAATGCTTTTCATGACAGATCTTTGTGCTGAAGAGAGGAAACAAACTGATGCAAAATGTCTTAGTTTCATCCCTGTTCTTTTGCTTAGGCTGCTAAAGTAGAACTAAGTTACCGCCAGCTTGATCATAAGTGATCTAAGAATAAATGTCAGATTTCTGTTGAGACTCTAGAAAAAGAACAGAGAAGAGCAACCAGGATGATTAGGGGACTGGAGACTAAAACATATGAAGAACGGTTACAGGAACTGGGCATGTGCTAGTCTCGTGAAGAGAAGGACCAGGGGAGACATGATAGCAGTCTTCCAATATTTGAGGGGCTGCCACAGAGAGGA